CCCCCCCCCCCCCCCCCTCACGTATGCCCGATCCGATAATGCTTGCCCGGATGATAGCTGGGCCCATGGAGCCCTTAGCAGCCTCGCCGACCGCATCAAGATCATGCGTGGGGGGCACGGCATAGACATCAACCTCTCGATCCAGGTTTGTGTGTGAGGGTGCGTACTCTCATTCCCTTGTTGCTGCGTGCCGTAGTCAGTAGACCATTGAACTCCTCGCATCCCTCTACACGATGCCGCGGGACGGAGAAGTTTTCGCTGGCCCAGGCTACGTTCCACATAGACCGGATGAACCAAAAGCTGATCGTCGTCCGTCCCTGAGTTTGTTGGGGCGGATGTAGGTGTGTGTAATGAGGTTTGTTGATTGTGGCATGAGTGCTCGCTTTTGTTTTTCGTCATCCCGTTTTGTGTTGTGGCCATCGGTCTTTCGCACCCTTCGAGACATTTTCCGAGGGAAGCACCAGCCGGGGTCAGACAGACTGGAGGATAGGCGACTCACACAGGAGCTGTGCCCTCCGACTACCTTTTTTCCTTGATTTATTTCTCTAGAAAGTTCGGGACTTGCTGCGTTTGCTTATTCCGTAAACTGCGCCACCGAAGTCGCGGGCTCTTGCCATGGATGCACCCACACCTCTTCTAACCCTACCCCCCCCCCCGCCCGGCACGCCTGACAGGTTATCCTCAACTGCGCCACCGAAGTAGCGGGGTCCTGTTACGGCGGCACCCACACGGGTACCTACGAGTACGCCTCCAACAACCCGGTTCCCTTCGATACGTGCCAGAACTACCAGGCGGAGGATAACACCTGCGACGCCATCGGCAAGTGCAAAACCTGCTGGGTGAGCCGAGTTCCTTCTTGAGGTGTGTGCCGTAGTGCGTAGGTCACGCTTGCGGTTCCATCTACGTCCTGCTGGGCCAGCGCTGGGGTTAAGCAAGTAGTTCAGGCTAAGTATTTTTTTGGTGCATCGGCGTACAAGCGAAAAAAATATGGATGTACATCGTATATTTGGTCATTTTTGTGCTTCGGCATTTCTTTCTCTCGCGACAGTGAGTCTCTCGCGCTTCCTTCTCAGGGGCAAGCAGGAGGCTCGTCGGCACGTTTAAGCTCTTGTGCGGAGCTCGGCAGGCCTCCGTGGGGTGTGTGGTTGACGATCAAAGTCGTAAAAGCTGGCTTTACCCCGGGGACGCGGTTTCGCGCAGACAAGGCCTGGCGAACCAAATCTTCTTAAACCCATCAAATATATTCGACAGGAAGGAATTGGCCCGCACGCGCGTTTTGAACAGGTTTCTCGCTGCCAACGACAGCTAGCCGGATAATGAACATCATCATATGCATTTGCCCCCACAATGAATCCATGTTCAAAGCTGGCGCCATCACGCTCACCACGCCGTCGGCTGGCTGTGTAGATATTTGCTACTCCGTCTCTGTGTACCCCTACCGCTCAGGTCTCAAACAAAACATACGTCGTGAACTGAATATACGTAGCTCTAAGTTTCCTTGCGTGCAGGCAGAGGTACGGATACGAGCAGACTTATGTAGTGAACACAGATGTACCGCAGCCCGAGTCCAGTGGTGATACGCTCGACGGACGAGAAAATACACAAGGCAGGCGGGAATCAGCCGGTTCTTTTGGTGTGTATGTTTTATTACTTGTGACTCATCATTTGAAACGGTTAGAATACTTGCCGGCATGTGAGGGCTATGTATCAATCCATCCAAGATACAACACAACCTATTCGGGCAATAATATTGCGCATCATATCGTCTTGCGTCGCCCGTGGGAGGATTGACACCCACGTCACGAAGGGAGACCTAGTATACATGTATATCATGTACAGTCGACGGTCCTCACTAGCGGTAGAGACAAGAGGGGATTGGTGCCGTAACAGAGGACCGCCAGCTGTGAGTATTTTGTGTTCTACTGTAAAGCACAACGCAAACATTCCTTTTGGCATGTTGCTCACCAGCGAGTTTGTTGGTGCTTAGAAAACTGGAACGTCTTCTTGGTCAGAGCTCTCAGCTTCTTGGGTACTGACCCTGGACAACGCAGAAGCAGCACAGAAGGGGAGGAAACAAATCATAATTATTGTGTGATGAAGCTTCTAGAACATGATTTGTGTCCTGCCAATGAGTGAGCGAGACCGATGTTGTAGAAGTGGGGGGGGGGGNGGGGGGCGTACTCTTATGTTTTGCATGTCTTAGCGGTTAGACCATTGACCACGCGTCCTCGAGAGGACGGAGCATTGTTCCCACAGGACCGATCACCGATGGCCAATCGTTCCTTTCTACTTTAGGCATGACCCATAGCGAGGGAGGGGGTCTTTCTAGCGAGCAGGGCTGGACTCGCCCTCAGGGGACCGATACCTTCCTGCTTCGGCGCACCCGCCGCGAGGCGTGCGTAGTGGTGGAGTTGCGTCGGCAATGGTGCACCAGGTACAAAGGTGCAGATGCGCGGACCTCCAGGCCGTCGGTGTAGGCAGCAATGCCCATCTCATCTTTGTGCGCGGATGCAGACGTCATCAGAAAGGTGGACGGGCACTATGTACACGGCCCTAGGTTTGCTAGAGGGAGCTGTACTGTCTCAGTAACCTGGTTTTGCCATCAAAGGAGGAGGGGACAGGTGGTGACGAGCTGATTGGGCTGGTTGACCCTTCGGCGCGTGAATCTTCAGACCGAGAACCCTAAGTGCGACGAGGGAGAAAGCGAGGAAACGACTGGGAAGGACAGCAACGAGAGCGTGTACGAAGCGGAGCGGGTCGAGTTTGGTCGTGCTAGGACTGGCCACAGCGGCACCGGAGCAGCGGCACCGGAGCAGCGGCACCGGAGCAGCGGAACCGGAGCAGGCGGAGGCATCGAACCGTGGCGCACGGACAAACATCTCTTGTATTGTCAATTATTTTCCGTTTTTTTCTGAATACAGGTGTTGGGTGTGTGATGACGTCACTGGTTTTGTAGAGAGACGCGGCAGAGATGGCGCGGATAAGCCGGGTGCCTTAATTGTGTACCTGCATCGTGGAAGACCTGTTCAATGTGGAACGATTCCTAGTCAGTGTCGATGTTTACACTGTGCCTTACACAGATGATCTGGATAGATTCGGGTGATTCTCAATTGCAATGTTGGCTTTGGTTGGGTGTTCTTCATTGGATGTCCACGGGCTCATTCTGACAGCACTTCAGACAGCCGCTCCATGCCCCGAGCTTGTGTACCATGCACCATGGTGTTATCATTGTACAGACAGCACTTCAGACAGCAGTTCGCTGTAGTCGACAACCATTCATTTTGGTTAAATGCGGGACAAGGGGAGTGATGCTGCTGCTGTAGTCGATTTGTAGTGTGTGGGCGTGTAGTTCAGTTGTGAGCACGCAAACGCGCAGCAGGGATTGCAGGTGCACCTCCTCTGGCTTGCGTACCCTGTCCTTGCTAATAAGTGTGTGTGTTCTTTAGATCTTCTGATGGCTCTAGCATTTTTGTGACCACGGACCGAGTCTTTGCTAGATTTTGTGATTAGCAACTGACACGGGTTTAATGTGAAGAATAACAACAACTTTGCCAAAGGTGGCTCAAAAATGTCTTCCCTAGTCTGCCTATCCTAACGATATCCCTTCCCGCCTTTTCAACCCACCTCCTATGCCCCACTACAGCTACCGTCCTTTCCTCCCTATTCCATGCCTCAAACATCTCCCTGTACGTCCCATCTATTTTTCTCAGCTTAGTCACGTACAAATTCCCTCTCATTCTTGTACAACGGACATTCCGCGACTACATGAACACGGNTTCTGAATACAGGTGTTGGGTGTGTGATGACGTCACTGGTTTTGTAGAGAGACGCGGCAGAGATGGCGCGGATAAGCCGGGTGCCTTAATTGTGTACCTGCATCGTGGAAGACCTGTTCAATGTGGAACGATTCCTAGTCAGTGTCGATGTTTACACTGTGCCTTACACAGATGATCTGGATAGATTCGGGTGATTCTCAATTGCAATGTTGGCTTTGGTTGGGTGTTCTTCATTGGATGTCCACGGGCTCATTCTGACAGCACTTCAGACAGCCGCTCCATGCCCCGAGCTTGTGTACCATGCACCATGGTGTTATCATTGTACAGACAGCACTTCAGACAGCAGTTCGCTGTAGTCGACAACCATTCATTTTGGTTAAATGCGGGACAAGGGGAGTGATGCTGCTGCTGTAGTCGATTTGTAGTGTGTGGGCGTGTAGTTCAGTTGTGAGCACGCAAACGCGCAGCAGGGATTGCAGGTGCACCTCCTCTGGCTTGCGTACCCTGTCCTTGCTAATAAGTGTGTGTGTTCTTTAGATCTTCTGATGGCTCTAGCATTTTTGTGACCACGGACCGAGTCTTTGCTAGATTTTTTGATTAGCAACTGACACGGGTTTAATGTGAAGAATAACAACAACTTTGCCAAAGGTGGCTCAAAAATGTCTTCCCTAGTCTGCCTATCCTAACGATATCCCTTCCCGCCTTTTCAACCCACCTCCTATGCCCCACTACAGCTACCGTCCTTTCCTCCCTATTCCATGCCTCAAACATCTCCCTGTACGTTCCATCTATTTTTCCCAGCTCAGTCACGTACACTTCCCTCTCCTTCTTGTACCACGGACATTCCGCGACTACATGAACACGGTCTTCGCATTCGAAGCCGCAATCACATTTGAACTCGTCGTCTTCCTCGTCTACCGTCCTATGTCTTCGTCGACGTTCTCGAAGGCCTATGTCCCCGGTCCTGAATTTGACCTTAAGCTTTGTTCCTGCATCCATTGGTCCACGTAGGTTATCCTTGAACCCTATTCCTTCCTTCAACATTCCGTGACCCTCCTTACCCTTGGATTCGTTCCTTAGATTCTGTTCTCTCTCGGCACAAGCAAAAGATATCTTCTCCTTGAACCCCTGTAGACC